AAAATGAGTACCAAACTACATGATTATCTCATGATCCTGTTTCAGCTGGGAAGGACTTCCTGTCTCTCCCTTTTCCTATGTTAGTGACCTTCCCGGCATGGCTGACTTCCTGTCTGTTCTCCACGACCATTCCTTTCTTTCTATCGCAGTGCACTGAATAACAAACAAACTACAAGTACCAGGACATTTTTGTGTCAAATGCATCAAGTACCAAATTCAATGAGTTTTGAAGCAGTCAAGTACCAAGGTACATTCTGTGTGTGTGTGTTTGTGTGTGTGTACACACTCACACATATACAGTGGGACACTTCTGAATAGAAGCGGGTTATTGTTCTGTAACATTGAAATGGATTACAGAATGCATTAGGATTTACTTCTCATAAATATGTATATTATGCTATAAAAGCTCTGAATTTAATGCTTTGAGACTTCTTTATTAATCAAACCAGTAGTGAATAACTGGTTCATTATTGACAGCATTGGTTAGGCATTGATGAAACTTAACTCCAGGATGATTCTTAATTATTGCCTTCTAGGACTATGGAGCAATCTGAATTCAAAAGGGGGAAAATGATTTAGATCACATTTGGTTTGCATGCTACCCTTCCAAGCAGTCCTTCAAAAGGGGTCATTTTCTTTTCGTTGTACCCAGCAGTCAAAGGTCTCATGAAAAGATGCATTTGATGAAAGGAAGTACTGACAAATCTGAGTTGTTTCCCTTTCAAACCTGGATCACTGCATATCCTTATTATCTAATAAACATACATAAAAGAAACATGGACCTGAATTTAAGGGAAGTTCCCCCCATAAGGAATAATAGAAAAAAGAACCTCATCAACTCCCATTAACACACTTTCAGCAAATCTTAAAACCACTGTCTAAAGGTAAATTTGGATGGATGAGTGAATTGGGAACTAATTTCCCTTCCATGGAAATTCAATATGTAACCCACACCACAATTACATAGCCATGGGATTTACAGCACTGCCAGGGTTATCCACTTTTGTCTAATCAGTATTTCCACAGCTGTTCTATAATTATGGCTATTGTTCACTGATTTATCACTTCAAAGTAGTAAATTGGAACTGGTCGTATACAGGTCCTATATCTGGAGATACCCTGGGCACCATTCAGCTTTCTATTTTACATTAAAATGCTGAGAAGTGCAACTTCCTGGGATATGTACTGTTTAGGCATTTTCCCTACCCACCCACTCATCTGTGCTATTTGTAAAATTTAGGATAACTTCCAGTGAGCTGCTAGGTTCACACGAGAGAAGGATCTCAAGATGGTGGCATCGGAGTCCTTTTCATGGTGGTTTAAAGTTCCATGATTCTCTCTTAACAGGGCAGTGAAGCAGCAGAGAGGACAGCTTAACATGCCGGCAACAGCTGTAGACCCTTGATCTAGAAAAGTCCTAATAATGAGCTGGAAACAGGTGCAAGGCTAAGCCAGAGGCCTTCCTGGAAGCTTTTGCCCTTGGAAATGATTGGGATAGTGGCTTTAATCTCTCACCCTCATCCTTTCCATGTATATTCCATATAGAATTGATTGATATTAAAAAGTAACACTCCAGTGTTGTGTCACCACATTTTTACATCTGAACAATTTCATCAAGATTTTTTTTGTGAGCCAGCCAGCCCCCTCCAGAATCCTGAAGGAGTGAATACATATTTCCTAAAGATAATTTGCAAAAGAGTTCCAAGAAAAAAATATATTTTTATATCTATTTTATACAATATTATAATTGTATAGATTTTTTTCTAATAACTGGTTGTTAAATACATTTTCAATGATCGTTTAAGTGAAACATATGCTAGAAAAAAATCAATTATTGAAAATGAATTAAAACCTTGTAACTGAAAACAGAACAAGAATAAATCAGTGGTCAGTGCACCCAGCTTTGTTTGTCTGTTGCATTCTTCTGAATCCTACTATAAATAAGTTCCTAACAACTACAGTAATGCCCCCACTTCCAAATAAAAGCCCCCAGAGAAATGATTGGTCCTTGAATTTTCAAGGCTCTTAATGAAAAGCACAACTAAATTTCCAATTAAGCTGTTTGATAGGCAAGATGACATGTGCAAAAGAGGAGGGCAAGCTTGAAGCTGCATTTTTTATCCAAATTTCTCATGACTACGGAGGCCTCTCCTCCCGCTAACAGCTGAAGAGTACACTTTCCCATGCCGTCAGGGGTGAGAAGGTTACAACTTAAGTATTGTGGCAGTTGTTTTTCACACAAGAATGCAGCTTGCTTGAAAGAATCCAGTGCTCTTGAAAGAGATGCACGCACACCCCCACCCACCCATGCACATGCACGCACACACACCAGCTCTTTCCTCTCCTTTCATTGCACGCTACGCCCCCCCAGTTGAGTGGGCAGCTCAATTTAACCCACCATTGATCTGGGCAACTTGCAACACTAATTGGGAACAGGGCTTTTTTTTTTTTTTTCCAAAGTTGCTCAGTCGGTAAATGAAACTTCAGCTCCCCTGTGAGCCAACGTGTGCAGGGAAGCTGCAGACCAAAGGCCAAAGGGCACAGCAGAAAGCGATTCCAGGCAGCCGTTGCTCTTTCACAGCTCCTGTTTCCTTTGCCCCAAAGCAGGCAGCTTGCTTTGTCTGGTACAAGATGGAGAGACACCAACTTCCCACTCAAAAGTAGGTAGAAAAAGCCCAGGCTTTTTTTTTTTTCCCCTGCTAGGCTTTCTTACCATGGAAACAAGACAGAAAAGAGAGGTATATAAAATAAAAAACAAACACATCGTTAATTTATTTACATTTATATTCAAATATGTATACCAGCATCTCAGGGCAGCATATCATGGCTTCCATGAATCATATGGATAAGTTTCCACGCTAAAAGTCTGAATGAACTTGCAAATGTCATCTGAAGTGGAATATAGAGCTGGATGAACAACTATACCCATAAGTGTATGTCAATGTTTCTGAGTGTCCCAAAAGTGCTTTTTCAAGAGGCGACTGGACTTTCTGGGTTTTTTTTGAGTAGCATGTGCACAACTCTAATCTAGGCCCTATTTTCTTCAACACAGAGATATTCTCAAGGGAGGATAAAAAGTAAAGATTTGAGTATAATAATTGGATCATAGCCCTGCCTATTTTAAACATGTATTGAAGAAGTTGTGGGCCTTCTATTACACAGTGGTGGCAGTTATTAAATGTGTGATTGACACAAAAATAATAGGGAAAGCAAATGGGGGACAATACTAAGATTCAGAAGGATATTGACAAGTTACGAAAACTAAAAATATGAATACTAAGAGGAAGAAATACAATTTGGATTTTTGTGTAGGAGACTCAAATGCATTAGTATGTGACTGAGAAGAATACAGGCCAGCAGAACATATGAAATGGATCTAGGTGTCTTGGATTATAAACTAAACTAAAACAGCAAATGCAGGCCTGAACTGCATCAACAAAAGTACAATAATAAGTTCAAGGTAATTCTATTTTGTATAGATCAGAGAATACCTCAAAAATATTAAGTCCAGTTCTAGGCACTGCATTTTAGAAAAGATATTGATAGAAGACAGTAATCTATTTTGGTGGTGTCATGACTGGATTTGGAAGAAATGGACAAGAAAACAAAAGAATGAAAGGTAAAGAAACTAGAGAGAAATAAAGGAAGATGACAAACAAGTCTTATGAAAACATATTCTGAAGATAATCTCCCAACAGAATGAACAGAAAGTAGGTATAAGAAAAGGATGTGAAAGCTGCTTGGACAAGAATAACAAGATCTGTATTAGAGTGCCATAGGAGTAATCTATCTATCTATCTATCTATCTATCTATCTATCTATCTATCTATCTATCTAT